GGAGGTAAAGAAAGAAAGGGTTCCCAAACGGGAGCCCAAACAAGCAGAAGAGCAAAACAGCGCAACGCAGGGCTTGGGTGACCCTTTGGCCCTACGAAAGTACAAGTGACTGAGCAGGCCACTCTTTCACCAGCTGATTCAATTCGCAATAGTGCCGTGCGCGTTGCTGCAAAATCGCATCGACACTACATACATTCACAATCAAAAGGCTGTACGCTGAATCACTTGCAAAATTATTTAATAATCATGTCCACGAGCTACATAGAAATGTTAAAGCGGAACCAAAGCATCAGAAACAAGAGCAATTGGGACGGCCTGTCCGACAATACATGGGAGTCGTTCTCAAGGTCCTTGTCAGAAGTTTAGTCTTCAGCAACCATCGGTGTTGATTGAGATACCTCGAAAGATCCGCGATCGAGTTGCGAAAGGATTATTTTGCTTCAGGAAAGTGTTGCGTACTTGTTTGTAGTGACAAGATGGGACTTTCTGGTTCAAAGAAAAGATAACACACGTAGATGAATTCGCGAAAGACTGGCAAAGGTATTGAAATCCTTCAGGCTTGGGCAGGTTGGTCAGGTATCATTGCTTTGTTGAGCATGCATGCCTGCCGGTTTGCCATTTTGGTCAAGCCAAAGTAGCCTGGCATCCTGCGTGCTATGGCTGGCGCAGGACACTTCACCCGGTCAGGCCAATCCCCCAAAGCGGCCAGGTGCATTGGTGAGCTGGCGCAGCGCTGCCAGGGTCGGGGATCCATGTGCTGTAGGGGCGCCACGTCTCCGTCAACGCCAAACATGGCATTGCGACCCGTAGGCCTCACCTATGCTGGCGAGCGCGTGGCCTTACAGGCAGCCAAGTGTCCTTCTACTACTCTCGAGCAGGCCAGAGTATGCTGATCCACTGCGCCGCCCATCTTGATGGCCGTGCTGCTTGCCTGGTGAGGGACTGTGCTGGATGAGCTCCGGTTCTTCGGGCTATCAAACTGGAGGCGGTGTGCTGGCGCAAGTTCTGGAAGATGGCAAACTTGACAGAGCCAAAGGTGACAAGCCAAACTCTTCTCAGCTTCCTACTCAGCAGGAGCTGACGTGCCATGTCTGAGAATGTGTCTGTTTGCCTTAGGCAGTGGGATCCACTTGGCTGCAATTTGTCAAAGCCAATCTGGCTGCACGTGTACAAAAGAAAGCCAACTGCTGCGCAACCTGATGTCGTGCAAGCGCAGCTGTTGATGTGGGATTTGCCCACAATCGACCCAACCACTGTGTGTGTGTATGATGCAAACGCATGTCCGGGCGGTGTTGCCACTTTTGCTTTCATCCTTGGCGTGGCCCAGTGACCATGGCATGGTGGCAAGCCGCAAAACCACACAGCACGCTGAGTGTATCCACTTTTCTGCGGCATGGGACTGGCATCCCAAGCAATGCGCTTCCAACTAACCGGCCAAGCCTGCCAGCGCGGTAGCAAGTGTGCAACATAGACCACACACTGTGCAAATGCTCAAGTTAAGGGGTGGCGCCTGATCACAAAGCAGATGCCTTGGCGCTTCGCCTGTACTGCTTGCATCATTCTTACGTGCACCATCGCCTTCCCTTTTCCTACTGGTCGAGACCCAAATGTTCTCTTCTTGTTTAATTCCCTAGGGGGCGCAGAACTGCGGCACTTGTAGCTGACATTGATGTAGCTGGCCTTTTCACTACTGGCTTGCTTTTTGCTTTACAAGCATGGTTTTCCTTTTGCCTTTGCTGGAGCCCTTGGTGGGCTTGGGCTCAGCATCCTTTGCGGCAAGAGTGTGGTTGGACTTAGATCAGCAGCAGGCTCATGGAACTGGATTGTGTGGGTGACTGCGACTGGCTTCAATTGCTTACGCTTCTCACCGCACCTGCTGTCACTGTGTCAAAGCTTGTGGGCTGCCACTGGTAGACGACGCAATCGCATGCGTCATCATATGTCCACTTCAGCTTGAACAAGCATTTTTTTGAGCTGTCTTGTGGTTTGTCAAGTCACAGAGCCTCTTAGAGCTGGGATGCCACGGTGGCTTCTCATGGCTGTAGGTGGTGTGGTGATGAGGTGCCAGGGTACTGCGTCAGGAATGGCAAGTCCACTGGGTTGCATTGGCGCGTATTCTTCTGAATGCCGCCACTTCTACCAGCCACATCCACTACAAATACAAATATTGCAGCGTTACTGCTGCATTTCATATCCATTACTTTATCACAACCACTGCTAGCGCAGCCCGGAAAAACTTTGTCGCTTCAGATGCGCAGGCGTCAAGCATCCAGAAACGACAGGGGTGCGCACCTAGAACCACGGGCGGCCCGGAAGCAGAATGCAAAGCGAGCATTCATTTCACGCAGGCGTGGTTGCATCCCTCTTCACGGCCAAGTAGCAGCTGCAGATTTTAATAGCCCGTCGTGCGGCTCTGAGGTAAAATGGCGGCTCACAGACTGCCCACACATTTCCATGCCAGAGCTTTGCCGCACACGTGTTTGCGCATGTTCTTCTGCGACTGAGAAGCTTCGGTGCTTGGAGGTGTTGCTTTGCGCAGGCGCCCGGCCCAAGTGTTCTGCGCAAGTTGCTGCGTGTGTGCTTATTGTGCCCTCTCGCTGCGCAAGCGCTCTGCGCAAGTGGCTGTTTCTATCAGCAAGTTCTCTGAGCAAGTTCTCAGCGCTGCGGCTGACCACAACACAGCAACTGTTCGACGTGAGCCCAATGTTTTTTCATTTGGATGTTAAAAACTGCAATCTGCCAGCCGATGCCTGTTGAACGTGTACTTCGCGCCACGCAATTACTTTGTACTTACAACTTGCGATATTCCAGCCGGAGCCTTCTGAAAGTGTACTTCGCGTGCTACTTTCGTACTTGAAAGCTGCGATTTTCCAGCCAGAGTTGCTTAAAAGCGCACTTTAGCTTGCATTCCGACTCGCAAAACATTTTTCTGGAGTTGCAATCGCCGAGAGGGTCGCGCGCGCACATCCAGCACCGTAGAAAGTCCCCGTGTGGATCTCCGCAGAGGGTCGCGCCAACTGCAACATTTTTAAATTAGAAAGCTTTCAGTTCTTTGACATCGACCGTGTCATTTTCGTGTGTCGGGTTCGGTCCCACCGCGCCACCGTAAAAACTAATTTACGTTTGGGTCCACATGTCTCGTGTCGTGCCATTTGCTGCTCTTGCAGCTTGCTCGGCGTGTTCTTCTGCGCATCGTGGTTTGCACCTGCTGTCGTGCATCTTGCTTTGCATGTCCTGTCGTGTATCTCGCGCTTCTGCACGTGCACAAGAGCTTGTGCACGCATGTTCTGTTGCGCTAACTGGCTGCGCGATAAGGCCGGCGGTTTTAACGGAAGAACCCTTCGCAATGCTCTCGGGAGAAAGAAAAAGGAAACCTCGACCTCATGCCCTTTGGCTATACACGAGATTTTGCAAGTTGCTCATATCAAGTTGCTCGTATCAACCCGGCAGCAGGTGCTGTCCATGCAGAGCTTCAAGCGCGGATTGCCCCTGGTGCCATCCAAGCGCCCGGCCACTGTGGAGATCGACGCCGGTGAGCGTGTGGGTTTTCGGCATTGGGCCCGCTTTGAGCCAGGTGGGGCATTTGAAAGTGGAGGCTCGAAGCGAACGTCACGGGCTGCAGGATGTCGTGGGGAGAGGCGATTGCTTTTTGCTGAGGCTGTTAGAAGCCGCATGCCGCAGGCGACTATGGCAGCGACAACTTCCAGCTTGCGCAGTACGTCCAGCACTTCCTCGCCTCCGTCGGCGAGGAGCTTCGCACTTTCCACACCCTCGACGGCTGTGAGCTGGTGCCGTACCAGTGCGTGGTCGTCCGCCAGGCGAGCGTCACGCAGGCTTTCAGCATATGTTGCTATCGGTTCGTGCCTGAGTTGAATTCAGGCTGGCAGCAATTGTTTGCACATGCCCTGCCAGGAGTGGGAGAAAGTCCGGGCAACGTTTCTGTCCCTCTACCCCTTGCAGAGGACCGCCTACCGCCGCGCCCATGGGGGGTCCAACGCGCCAGCCATGCATGAAGATGTGGAGCCCAAGTTCCTGCCCAAGGCGAAGTCAGCGGTTCCCAAGCCGGAAGTTTTCAATCACGAGCCGCGGTTGATTGTGCGCAACACCTTTCTGGACATCGAAGAGGATGATGAGGAGCGTCAATTCTTTGGTGCCTTTGAAGTTTTGTAATTTGCCTGCGAGGTCAGATTATCCAGTTTTTTGCTACCCCTTCTGAGACAATTTCAGGGTCAGCCTTAGAGGCTTACAACGCATTCTGGGGTAATTGTGTGGCGCAAAGTCAGACAAGGAGATGGTCAAGTTCCGCCGAAAGGCAAAACGCGCCAAAACTATTGCGGCAGTGCCGGTCGTGCTTGTGGCATGAGCTGGGGCAGGTGCGCCGCGCGTGACAAGCATTGCAGTGCAACCTCGCCTCGCCTTGCAGATCATTTACAGTTTAACCGCATGCAATTGCATGTGACTGGGCCCATGCTAAGCCGCACTGGTGCTTGCATGCGCTTGCACCATGCGTGGCCTGTAAAGCTTAACATTTTGTGATTTTGTGAACCTGTAAAGATCCACTGCTTGCGGCTGCCTACACGCTAGGACCAAGCAGATCAGTGACCCCCCACTGCGGGCAGGATTCGTGCAGATCTGCGGAGTGAGCAACAGCCTCACGCCGTTTTTTTAGGAGTTACTTGTCTGGCAGTGTGTTACAAAAAGGCTTGTGCAAGCTCAGTGCCTTGCACTTACCGTTGCAAGATTGCCAGCTGCTGGCCTGGTTTTGCTAGCACTGATTGCAAAGAGAGCGTCTGATTGTGGGACCGCTACACATACAGACTTGTTGCTGGACGGTTGTGGGCCACAACGGTGAGATTATGCAACCGAGGCACGGCACAAATGTTTGCGTCAATCGTTGAAACCATTTAGAGCAGTGTTGTTGTGGTTGCCTGGGAAAGGCTCAAGCACTTCAGGGACACACACACGCGAGTCCAGATACCAAGCGTGGCATCCGTGCGAAGGACTTCGACAGAATCCGTTCAGAGCTGCGGCAGCAGGAGAAGGACTGAGAGCTGGTGCATTGAAGAACCGAGGCCTCGACAGGGCTTGTTCATGTGTTCCAGTCTAGTTTTACTCGAAGGAAGTGCAGTTTTTACCTCATGTGCCAGCTTACACAGTCTTGCATGGGCGGTTGGCTCCAATGCGCTGCATATTTGAGTTCCGCGATTTCCAGTGAGCGGCTGCTTCGTGGCAGCTATCAAGGCAGTTCTCATGGCAACTTCACATTCTTAGGAGCTCGAGCATCAGCTGGAGCTGCGGCGAGTACTGCAGGCCCGAGCCGCGAGCCATGCCCAGGAGCTCAAGGTGAGGGCCATGCCAGGAGTGCGCAACTTGTGTTGGTCCTGTCTATTCATGGCCTTGGGCTGGAATCGTTTGGGTTGCAGCTTGACTTTGTCGCGCTAGCTTGGCAGAGCAATTCACAGCTGAGACTGAGTAGTCCGGATCATAGAAACCCAGGTGACTTACTGTAGGTGACTTGTCCATGCAAGCCGCTTTGTGCTTCGTCTCCCGTCATTTTTTCTTCTTAAAAAAAACAAAACAAAAAGAACAACTATGCACGAGAGGTCGCAAAAGAAGCATTCGATACAGGTTATTACACCATATGTATGCACGGTGACAGACACCCCATACCGCTACCAACTGCTAGCCAGCCTTTCTGAGTGCCGAGCAGGCTCACATGTTGTGCGGATACTGTTTGTTTTGTTTCCCATAAAGTGGTTTGTGTTGTCATTCCCACGCTGCAGTGGCAGCGACCCACACTCCCCAAGGCAGCAAACTGTTCCTGCATCAGGAGAATTCCCTGACGACGCCCTGAACCATGCTATGCATGTTTGTGTTGTGTGATCAGTGGCTGCAGCCACAAGACTGCTTGATGTGGGAAAGCATGATGGCCCCTACCCCCCCTGTAACAAGATAGCCTTCAAATTATCCACAAGCCGCCACACACACATTTGGCCTTGCACGAGCCGGCTTGGCCAGATGGCTTTCAACTTCTCGAATGTCTCGGTTCGCACTTTCCGAACTGCTTTGTGCCTGCAGGCCAGCCTGAACAGCGAGCGCGAGCGCTCGGCTGAGCTGGCAAAGACGAACGCATTGAATGCCGAGTTGCTCAGGCCATTGCAGAATGACTGACTGTTTTCGCTGCGCAACTTTGCCAGGAGGGGACCATGGTTGCCTGTGTTTGACACATGTCAGTGTGTGGTCAAACCTGCAATGTTCAGGGAATCAAGCGTTCCTTGAAGGCAGGGCTTCCAATGTGACACCACCCAGCTTTCTTCGCATCTCAATTTTGCAGACCCCTTCGCACCAAGCCCCAATGTTCAAATCATTTAGCTGAGAGGACAATTCCGCGTGAGAAGCACGTGGGGTATCTTATTGTGTTTTACAACGTTGTCCATGCATGCTCAAGCCACATAAACCGAAAACCGCTAAACCCACTCTGAGTGGCCCAAGCCCCTGGTCGAAGCCAGGGCCTGTGAAGAGAAGCTGCAGGGCCAGCGGCGCGTCAGTGATGCAGATACCCAGGAGCTGGCAGACCAGGCTGGCCGGTCTGCATGGAAAGGCAGGCTGTAGGCACGGTCTTAAAGTCCTAAAGTCCTTGGAGCAAAGTCGGGGGGGAGAGAGGCTCCGGAGGCTCCATGCGACTTAGGCTGAACATAGAGATCATTGAGATCCCATGTGAAAGCAGGGCGAGGGGGGATCAGCTTGGCTGCGAAAGCTGTGCAGTTATGTTTTGGTGGGTGCCGAGGCTTCAAGCAGCGCCTCACACGCGGCGTTGTGAATATCTTTCAATTGATCCGCTGTCATCAATAGCCACAAGCTGAGGCTTCCATTGGGTTGGCACTACATGATGGCTCACTGCCTGAACACCTCCCAATTTTTGTTGCGATGCTGCTCATGGCAGGGGCCACCGTTTGTTCAAAGCTTTCAGAGGTGTACCGTGAAAGTCATGCCCCTCCGAAGATAACGGTCTTTTGGAAGAGTTAGTCTCGCAGAAGGGCTAAATGGGTGGTCTACTAGGGGAGGCCTGCCGGGTACGACTGTGGAATAATCCTTGAATCCTGGGACAACTGCCTGGTCTTGCTGCTGGCCGCGAGGTGGATGCCCTCCTCCTTTTGAAGAGGCCGACGGGCATCGTTTGCGCAGATATAGTGCAGAATGGCTGGCTTCACCTGCACCGAGCGATGTTCCCCCCTCCCCCGCACTGCACTTCTTCCGTTCTGTGTCATTTAGAAGGGGAAATTGTTGATTTCAGTTGGACTTGGCCGTTCAGGCAGCTCTACCAGCGCATCCAGAGTCTGGAGCAGGAACGGACCAGCTTGCTGTCGCAGCGGGAAGAGGCCGCCGATAGCTCAGGGGAGGCCTGTGGAGACGGGTGGGTGACGCGGGTGGGAGGTAGCTGCGGATTGTAACACTGGTTTTGTCAACATGGCCCGAGACGGTTGCATGTCCCGTCAATGTCCCAAGGTGAGCGACCGGTCTTGCGTTGCTTGCCTCGATCGCCTGGCGAACACAGAGCCTTATTTGCACAATTTGGTGCCAGCACAATGCTCAGCCACCCTTTCGAGGAATGCACCACTGTAGCCAAGGGGCTGTTGAGCCCCATGATTTCTTCAACCGTGATTCACTCCAACCAACATTCTGCGTAAAGCTATGCACCGCTGGGGTTCATCTCAGGTGCTCCTCCGTTGTCGCCATCTTTGCTGCTGCGAGGGCTGCGCCAAGCGCGTCACACAATGCCCCGTTTGCCGCCAAAACGTGCGGGACCGGATCACGGTCTTCATGCCATGAGGCGCGGCAGCTGGTGTCAGGCCACCGACCTGTATTTCAAGGTAGCTGCTGTTTGCCGTGTTCCGAACCTGTGTTGGTCTAAGCCTGGAAGACCAAACGCCAAGCTCAGGCCAACCTCCGCTGAGATGGCGGCCATCGAGTGATCGAATTCCCTGTTTGTGGGGTGTGTGGCGAGGTCCGCCTGAGAGGTGCTGTACAGGCAAGCGACGTGCATGCAGGGGTCTCCAGGGCCAAATCAGTTCCTGGTGCACCATCCATCTTCCACTAGGCTGGGTGTCTTTGAAGCTGGCTGTTGAGAGCGCTTTGCACATTGGATCTTCCGTGCCTCGCTAGGGGTGTGCTTTGGTGAGGACGGAGTGCACATTAAACGAAAGCCACACTCGAGCATAGCCCGCTGCAAGACCGCATTTGAATGGAAGCTCCCAAGCTGCCTGCTGCATGGATGAAGCTGGGATCTTTACCTGGGCTGTGCTGGCATCGTGGCTTGATGACTGCATTGGCATAATTGCCTGCTCTTGAAGTCATGGGTTGAGGCATGGGCTGTGACATGTGTTGCCTGGTGCTCCTTTTGCATCACTGGCGCTTACTAGGCTCTGTTCAGTGCGAAATGGTCAGCTGACGGGACTCAACAGCCATCGCCCACCAGATTTCGTTGCAGACGTGGGACATCCAGTGCAGAGTAGGAGGTCCGGCGGCCATCCCCGCATGGGTGGTGGTCCATGCGTGCTGTCTGAATCATGACAGCCTCAATCTGGATCAAAAGAAGACATTCAAGTGTGGGCGCCCTTTTGGGCCCGACAACTGGGTCACCCACCCTTCATGTTCGTTCTGGGCGTTTGACGGTGTTGTCAGGGTTCTGATTGGGTTCGGATGGTCTCTTCATCTGCGTTTGCAACATCCTGCAGCAAACCGGCCCTTGCACCGTTTTTTGGTTACCGGCGTGAAAGGGAATTTGTGTTCAGGACTGTAGAAACTGCTCAAATTCAAGCCAAGCAATCAACCCCCTCCCATGGTGCCAAAATGCAAGCATTTCTGCAGGTATTGAGCGATGCCAGCATTCCTTCCTGTCCCAGGGTGGAATCGAGCCTTTTGGGGCCTAAAACGCCCCTGCGCAGGCACCGACGCCTAACGTATCGATCAGTTTTGCTTTTATGAAATTTAGCTAAATTGGGGATGTTGGCGGTGTCAACCCAGTGTAGCCTACGGAGAGGGCGTTGGGGGAGGTTGGGCTATCAGTTCTCCGACACGTCCTCCCACCCTTCCCGAGCCTAAGACAGCCGTGCCTAGTTGGGATGGATCAGGATGCTCGCCCACAAAAGCCGATCTTCCTGATGGGTGGAGCTCTTGAACAAAACGTCATGCGCGGCAGGAGGGCTCGCAGCAAGTGTACCTGGCGGGGGCGACGGCTCGAGAGTGCTTTATTTGGCAGGCAGCGGGCCAAGCCTCCTATCCTTTTCAGTTATTACCCCTGAACGACCAGCATTCCTTCTTACCCATTTGAAAGGTCTGAACGACCAGCATTCCTACATGAATATTGGATGATATTGGAGGGTCAGTGGTCGTGCGCTGGCCAATGCCAAAGAGATGTCTGAGATTGAATGCTTGGGCAAGTCCAGTCTGTTTTCGAGGCAACCGAAGGCTCAGATCCTCTGGTGCTAGAACTGGAGGCGGGGGGTCCCAGCTGCACCTTGCGACAACCTCTAACATCCCAAAGTTCGAGGGATGGAGCAGACTCACTTGCACTGCGCGCGTGGAATGACCATCGCACATGCTGACGCATGCTGAGCTGTAAGCAGATTCTATTTGCTCAGCTTCTAATTTGTGACGAGTTGCTCAGGTTGTGCCGCCGGCTTTGCCCGCTCTGGCCTTCGATGAGCTCGGGCCCACAGATCGCAGATCTGACCACGATCTGCAGTCGTGTGCCCCTTTACCTTGGTAATGGCTTTCAGTCGTGTTCACAATGAGTTCTTCAGATGCAAGGACTGGTGCCTTGCTGGCAGTGGCCGGCGGGGGTGAGCAGCTCAGGATTGTGAGCCGCCCCTCCCGCCCACCCTGCTAGTTTAAATTCTCGCCCAGTGCTCGGGTTGTGTGTGATCCGTGAGGCCGATGAGTAGAACTGGCAATTTGCTTTCCTGTTATTGTATCAGCTTGCACTGGATTTGCCTCGGACATCTGAGGCCTTCCAAGCGTATCCGTGTTTCAAAGTCCGAGCCTTGGTGCCTGCATTGCCTGCATCCACATGGCAAGAGCTTTGCATAGAGCACGAAGGTGAAGGCACAGTGCGAGCCGCCAATTGAGGCCTTCATGGCGGCTGCTTTGCTACAGGGGCGGTGCCACCACAAGGAGAAGACCACACTGCAGTGCGCAAAGATTCAGCCTGGTCGGCATGTATCAATCATCATCATCATCATCATCATCATCATCATCATCATCATCATTGCCATCATACTCATTGCATCATCATCATCATCATCACCATCATCATCATCCCCATCATCATCATCAGCATCAGCATCAGCATCATCATCATCATCATCATCATCATCATCATCATCATCATCATCATTGCCATCATCATCATTGCATCATCATCATCATCATCATCATCATCATCACCATCATCATCATCACCATCATCATCATCAGCATCAGCATCAGCATCATCATCATCATCATCATCATCATCATTGCATCATCATCATCATCATTGCATCATCATCATCATCACCATCATCATCATTGCATCATCATCATCATCATCATCACCATCATCATCATCACCATCATCATCATCATCATCATTGCATCATCATCATCATCACCATCATCATCATCAGCATCAGCATCAGCATCATCATCATCATCATTGCATCATCATCATCATCATCAGCATCATCATCATCATTATGATCATCATTGCCATCATCATCATTGCATCATCATCATCATCATCACCATCATCATCATCAGCATCAGCATCAGCATCATCATCATCATCATCATCAACATCATCATCATCATCATTGCATCATCATCATCATCACCATCATCATCATCAGCATCAGCATCAGCATCAGCATCATCATCATCATCATCATTGCCATCATCATCATTGCATCATCATCATCAGCATCAGCATCAGCATCATCATCATCATCATCATCATCATCATCATCATTGCATCATCATCATCATCATTGCCATCATCATCATCATCACCATCATCATCATCATCATCAGCATCATCTTCTGATGCATCAGCATCAGCATCATCATCATCATCATCATCATTGCCATCATCATCATTGCATCATCATCATCATCATCACCATCATCATCATCAGCATTAGCATCAGCATCATCATCATCATCATCATTGCCATCAGCATCATTGCATCATCATCATCATCATCATCACCATCATCATCATCAGCATCAGCATCAGCATCAGCATCATCATCATCATCAACATCATCATCATCATCATTGCATCATTGCATCATCATCATCATCATCATCATCAGCATCAGCATCAGCATCAGCATCAGTATCAGCATCATCATCATCATCATCATCATCATCATTGCCATCAGCATCATTGCATCATCATCATCATCATCAGCATCAGCATCAGCATCAGCATCAGCATCAGCATCACCATCATCATCATCATCATCATCATCAGCATCATCATTGCCATCATCATCATTGCATCATCATCATCATTGCCATCATCATCATTGCATCATCATCATCATCATCATCATCATCACCATCACCATCAGCATCAGCATCAGCATCAGCATCATCATCATCATCATCATCATCATCATCATCGCCGTCATCATCATTGCATCATCATCATCACCATCATCATCATCATCAGCATCAGCATCAGCATCAGCATCAGCATCATCATCATCATCATGATCATCATCATTGCCATCATCATCATTGCATCATCTTCATCATCATCACCATCATCATCATCATCATCAGCATCAGCATCAGCATCAGCATCATCATCATCATCATCATCACATCAATCAGCTAGTTATAGCGACTTTCAATTCACGGGGTCAAGAAAATTGACAGCCGCGCATCCCAAACTGTGCGCGACATGAGGTTCAATTGGAGGCCACATGTGCAGAGAGACCCTGCAGGTACATGCATGTTCCTTCCTACGCGGCAACTTTGCCTTTGTGCTTGCCGTTGCTGCCCAGGCACTGGGCGTGGCTTGTTTTGCGGTGTCGTGGTTTTGTATAACATGGAGTTCCTGAATGAAAGTCCAGCTGCTGGATTTCAGTGGGGAACTGGCAACTGCCATTTCTGTGTACTTGGCAGTTGAAATAGTATGTGGCAGAAGCACCCGTGCCTTTGCATCCACTAAGTCACTAAGTCTATGTACCTTTGTTCCGTTGCATGGTTTCAGAGCTAGCGCATGCGTTGCAGGATGCAGCGCAAGCCGCCCTACTGCTCTACGACTTGCGAAGGGTAGGCGCAGGCGTGGGAAGCTGGAGGTAACATGATTCCACTTCGGCCTCACTGCAAGCTCTGGCACAGCTGCTCGAGCCGTGTTGCCCTCAATGGGCGGACGCAAACACGGCTGATTCTAGGGTGTAGTGGTATGAGATGGATGGCTTGGAAGGAAGGGGACAATCGGGACAATTGTGCTATTGTTTACGCGGCAAAATTTCCCTGGCCACAGCTGGGTGTGGCTCAAAATTAATCAGCAGGGTTACGCAGGTTTTGGTCCATGTGTCCACTTACCAGGGTTCCATTTTGGTACCGGTTTTTGAGCCACAGCCAGCTATGTCAGGTAGTGTCGGAGTCTCTCACGAGAGCCCGCTGCACGGAGGGCCGTTCACTGCACTGTGCCGGCTGCACAGGTGAGGGTGGGTGGGGCGGGGTGGGGAGGGGTGGGGGGAGGGGTGGGGAAGGGAGGGGTGGGGTGGGGTGGGTGGGGTGGGGTGGGGTGGGGTGGGGTGGGGTGGGGTGGGTGTGGGTGTGGGTGTGGGTGTGGGTGTGGGTGGTTGGGTGTGTTTGTGTGCGTGGCGCCAATGCAAACCATACCCATCTGCCCCCGCTAACAGACACAACTTCTTGGGACTGGAGAGGGGGTCTGCAGGGTTCTCCCACCGTGCCCTTTTAACTTATTTTTGTCAACCTACAGCAAAGTGCCTGCTGCACTGACCTGCTTTTTCGTTTTCCCTGTCTATCCCTCTCCCTTTCCTTGTCTCTTCCTTTGACCTGTTTTAGGTCCGCAGTATGGACAAGATGGCGTGCTGCTTCTGGGCGGCCAGGGCAAGGTGAGGATGATGCAGGCGGGATGTTGGGCCCGAGGAGGAGGTTGAGAGTTGCGCGAAAGACGCCTCCTGTGCTCAACGGCGAAAACAAGACTCTGCATGAAGGCCGAACTCGGATCAGAGCAACGCAACCCATGGGTTCAGGTAATTGCATGGCTAGCTGGGCGTGGGAGTGGCTTGCCCTTTCCATGTTGAGGGATCAATGCAGGGTGTGAACAGGGAGAACATCGCTCGTTTGATGGTAGCGTGTCA